AGTGGTAGGCAGGGGAGGAGGGGGAGGATTTTGCACAGAGCCATTTTGGAATGCAATTAAACGCAGTACAGTGAAACACGATGCCGCCGCCGCCGCCGCCGCTGCTGCTGCTGCCGTTTCCCTCCTCCGCGCAACCCCTGCTATGCTCTGTCTCCCTGTCTCCCCCCCCTCCTCTCTCTCACCTCTGCTCTTCCTCCCGCGTAACACCTGCCGGTGCTCTTTGCCTCGTACACGAATGCCTTGATGTGCCCAGGTACAACAAACAGGGTGCTTTCCAAACGGTCGAGTTCTGACAAGGCGTAAAGTGGATTCGCGCCTTGTCTCCGACGAAATGCATTTCTCGTCTCTTCAAAGCGCTTTTCTCTTGCTATGTCGAGTAAATTTAATTCCAGAATTAAAGCAATGTCATACCTGCCGCTCGACGAGACTCTGGGGGGAATGTGCGAAATTACGTTACGAGAGAATAAATATTCATTTCGTGCAATACAATTAATCATCGGCCGACGCGCCAGATGAAGTACGCTTTTAATATACGGAGAAAAAAAAAAAAAATATATATATATATATATATATATATATATATATATCTTCTGATACAGATAAATTTCTATAGAGTAAGAACTCTAAAACCTTGGGATTTTCTTCAAGATGGATTCTAGGATCAATTTGAAAACAATTCTTCCTCTACGAAAATAACGAGGGAGATCATTATGTTTTTGTCTTTATGTATATCTTTATAATTATGTCTGAAATTAAAATTTTATTTGAGTAATCTCCATCTAAAATTAACTAAAAAATATAATTATATTAATTTTTTAATTCCAAAAAGTTTAATTTATAGAACATCTTTTTTTTAATTACTCATAACGTGAACATTATTAATGTTGCGACATTTCTGATAGAACCTACTCAAGCTACAATTATCCTTTCGAAAAATATTGATGATATAAACAAGGTACACTCGTACAAGTCGAATCGTCAAGTGCACCCTTGGATCTAACAGGAATGGAGGAGGAACGGCAAAGTCGGTCGTTCCGGGGTTCGTTTTGATAAGGAAGAGCATCATCCCTGTCCCAAGGGTCGGGGACGAGAGGACATAGAGAGGAAGAGGGCGAGAGAGACAGAGAGGAGGAGAGAAAATGGCGGCCCGGAGAGAAATCCGACACCAAATCGAAGGAGACGCCATCGCAAAGCGCGGCGCCGCCCCTTTATCATTGGATCTTGGCTTTGAGCGCGATGTCATCCCCGCGCCTCGCATCGATGAATTGGAATAATTATCAATTCACTCACGTATCATATACATCTCATAATCTCTCCTTTTTCCCTGTGGTCAATCATAGGATCAATAATATCAATTAAAAAATTATAAATTGCATCATATTAAGGAGGTCAGCTCAAGAACGATAAAATAATCTAGAATTAAATCTTCTTTAACAAAAGCAAATCTTGTTCTTTAGAAAAATTTTGGTTTTAATGATCAAAATAAATTTATTAAATATTGAGAACATTTAAAAGTTGGAAAAAAGGAATATTACTGATTGAAACTTTCTGTAAAACTATTGACTTTTAGTAAAAAGAAAGTCCAACCTTCAAGTTAATCTCATATTAAGATATAATACATTAAAACATTTTTAAATAAGGATTGTAGAAAAAAAATTTTAGTAATCAAAACAAATTTATCTTCTCTACAATAAATTTTAATTTATAAAAATCATGTATTTAATTAATTTATGTAGAGAGCACAATTAAAGCCAGATCACTCATGAAATCATCTTAATTTTTTTGTAAATTAAATTATTTTATGTTAACAATATATTATTAAAATTTATCTGTCTGCTAACTTTTTCTAATAAGTTGACAAGTTTTTTGCTTGAATTTTGACAAAAGAAACATCTTTGAGGTGTGTCACGATGTGTCTACATCGTAGGACGTACGAATGGTAATTAGTTGAAAAAGGCGGATCAGATTCAAAGGATTGGCGAGGCGTGGTGTAGAAAGACATCTTCGCTCATCTAGGTAGATCGGCTCCCATTGATCTACATAACGCCGGTGGTCTGCCAGACACTTTGCTATTTTCAACCGCCAGATTTCCGTCACGTGACATTCTAAATTTGTGGTGATTATTCCTTAATATATTAATAATCAATTCTTAAATATTTTCAATCCTTAAACATTGGATAATATCATAATATTAAAATATTTTTCGATTTAGCTTAGAATTTATTTTCTTCTATATGTATTTTTACTACGTAGACACAAATATTTTATTTAATAAGAATTATAATAAATTTTATCAAATATCTTCTTTAATATGTCCCTAATAATTTTTATAAGAAATATATTTATATTTCATAGATATTTCTTTTCTAAAAAAATTAAAAAATACATATATATGATAATTCCTAATTCGATTAATTGTGTGTAATGTCAAATTTCACCGAAATTATAAAAGAGAGGTGAATGATCGAAATGCACGTACACAAGAATACGTAACGGTAAACGGTGTATATGTACGATAGTCGTGAATGAACGAAACCGATCCTTGGGCGTGTACGAGTTCGTATTCGGACCGATCTACAGCTAAAGTTACGTTTGTCGTTGGATCATATTTGCAGAAATGTGTATCATAATACGACTCCGGAGATGAGCCGACGACCTTCGCGAGAGGGTGGAAATCTTATCGTAAAAAGTAAACGCTTTAAAAAAATGTGATAGTCTTCCTCGATATACATTCTGCATCGAAAGTTATTTTTTAAATTATCGTTCTCTAATTTATAGTAATAAAATTTAAAAAAATAATTGATTATAATTACGTTTAACTTGAAATTATAAATAAATAATTAACGGTTATTTTATTTTTAATGTATATTTTATGTGCATTATGCACCATGTGCACTAATTTTATTATCAAAATAACAGGGGGATATTAAATCTTATGTTACTGTTCAACCTATTATATTTATCTCATATCACGTGTGGGTACGTGATAAATTGTTTGAAATATGATTGTTTAAATAAATAATTCCTAAACAAAAATTTATGACAGACTTTCTTTCGTCAAATCTATCAGCAAAGGGTGGATGATTATTGCCGGTTGTTGTGAAATTAGTCGAACGCAAGGTGCGATAGCGTCGCGTGGAATCACAACATGGTGTACGGTAACGTTGACACGTTCCATTTCCGGTGTTTATTGGTCTCGCATATTCCGTGATTCCTTGGCTGGCTCCGCGATAGTGGAAAACAGTATCTATCGTGCGAAACAAAAATCGCAAAAATTGCTGAATATCGTAAAACGAAAGCTATGCGATAAGCACACGAATAAAATGAATTCTTTGTTAAGCAAATTTCTATCGTCATTTCTGCGCTTTGAATTATTTTAAATTTAAAGAAAATTTTGCATAATAAGTAAAATAATGAGAAAACAACTCATCATTAATTTCTTACTATTTTTGAAGATATAACTATATCTACGGCAATGTATGAATAATATTAAAACAACATAAAATAGAAAGATGCTTTTTCTCCAGAAGAGAGAGCAAATAAAATATAAACGCAATAAAAAATGTAATATCAGGAAAGAACATCTGCTGCGTAATACCATAATTTGTCACAGCAGTTATATAAGAAAAAAAATTACACGAGCCAGACTCGAAGAAGAAATCGCTGAAATTCGATATATCCAGGTAATCGGTCGGTCGCGGAGATCGCCAGGTGAGAATCCAGCACCACGGAGGAATCAGAGGAAGCGTCGCGTCGGGACCAACAGCGGTGGCGGCGGCGATGATCTCGGATGGGGATGTCATCGTTTGGGGGTAGAAAATACGCGCCGCCCCCGAATTAAACCAATGGCATGGCGTTGCACACTATACAGCGACCAATCGTCTCGCACATCGCGCAGTTCTGCCGCTGAAAAAAAGGGGAAGACGAGCAGGAGCCAAGGGGAAGAAGGAGAGAAGAAGAGAGAGAAAGAGAAAGAGAGAGAGAGAGGACGGCTTCGTCAGCATCGCTACTGGGCACTACCACAACTGTCGACGGAGACGGCCGCACAACCACAATCCAACAACGGAAGCTAGCGCGACGGTGGTTTCACCACGAGAGCGAGTAGCGTCGAGTTCGTCTTACTAACTTGGTGACTTGGTCATTCAGTGTCCCTCACGGCCAAAAAGCAATTGCAATTGCTCCGCCGAGTGTCGATTACGCAATCGGTTATCGCGATTCGCAACTTTGCGTGATTACAACATCGCGACAAAATCACCTCAAAAAGTGGTGGTTGCGACGAGGTCCAATATTGGACTATGTAGGATATAGTGTTACTGGCACCACGAGGCGTCCGAGGAAAATATCCTTATACCTTTTTTCGCATGAGTTGAATGCCTTCGCTGTGGGTGGTTTATAGCGATAATGATCAGTCACAAGGATTAAAGGTTCAAGTAGCAAAAGTTTATGGCTTGACAGCGAATGGACAGTGGACAGACAATGGATATCTTTGAAGAAGGATCGAGTTTTTTCACGCGTGTGGAGGATTATTGCGGATGCGTCAAGTATCGCATTATGATTACATAATTTATTATGAATCGTCGAAATATTTTTAAGAGTTTAGATTTGATTTCAAACTTCTCCGAAATTCAAGCCCGAAGTTATTTGCTTACAGTGCGGAAATTAAATACGATTTTCAAGGACAAATAAATAATTATGTACGCGTAATATATATTAGAAATCTTATGCATATTTTTTTATCAAGAATATAAAGCGCAGAATGACTACCGTTTACAAAACCGCGTTTTTTACAGTGTTAAATGCAAAAGTAAAAATTTACACTGACAATTATGTGGATTGTGACATGTTAATGATTGAAAAATAATTATTAAAAATTTGAGCTCTTTTATGACAAAGAACTATCGGATATATCATGAAAGAACGACAATTTCATAAATATACGAGTATCATGATTCCGTAGAAAAATTGTTAAATTTTTTTAAAAACTTGCAAGCACTCACAATTTCTCGAATACGCATAATTTTTTATTGAAAAATATATCATCTTCATTGAAGTAAGCTTTGATGAATGAAAATGTAGCCGATAAATGTAATAGGTATCACATTATGAATGAAACGTGTGTGATTAAACAATCGTCGCGTCGATTCAAATGTGCGAATAACGGATGCTTACTTTCGTCATCAATTATTCATCCGGCTGATCTATAAGACACAACGATATAATATCCCGGAACTACTAAATAGCAGAAGCGGAAAAGTACGCTTCGCTATTTTTTGATGAAAAATTGATAATAAAAAATTTAGAAGTGACAAATATATATATATAATCTATATAAACGAGGTGAAAGAAAATTTGTAGAGATACAAAACTGCTAGTAAATTTTCGAAACTTTATTGAAATGGACAACTTCATTAGAGTGTTGATCGAATTTTTATTTTAATTTTGAGCGAGAAATCGCATTTTTAACCTGTGATTCGAGACAAATGATCGCCGACCGAACTTTGGGAGAAAATTGCGTAAAAAGCTCGTGTTTATTACATTCTGTCATATTTCTCGCGCTTGAGACCGGCGAATGAGCTCAGAATTTTATCTTTTGTCCGACACCTCGGTTCATGAAAGCCGCGTAGCCGTCAGCCAAGGATGTCGGACAGTTCGGATCAACTGTCATCGCCGAACAGCGACTGCAACAGTCAGATGGGCGTCGTGCATCGCAATGCAACCGCGCAATATGGTAACGCGACATCGATGTCCGGGTTGACCCATCACCCCCAGAATCTGACGCCGACGTCGAACGATAGCCCTCAATATTCGCAGGAGCTTTCCACCTGCAGCTCCGCCAGCCTGAGCACCAACATCGCTAACATCGGCAGTTTTTCTCTCAGCGGCACCACCAGCAATTTCACCCCCGAACAGATATCCTGCATGTGCGAAGCGCTATCGCAGAGTCAGGACATTGAGAAGCTATCGAGGTAATTCAAAGAGCGCACATCTTATTCTTCATGTAAGTCGTATATAAACAATTTTCCGTCGTGTATTATAATTCTTCAAGCGTACTTTTTATCGTATATTTAAACAATTTTGTTCAAAGTTTTATGTTTTCAAAATTGAAATTACGAAATTATATTTCCTCTTGCTATACTAAAAAGAAAATTCTGTATTCTATATTAGATTTCTTTGGTCCCTACCACCTGGAGAACTGCTGCGTGGGGGCGAAAGCGTTTTGATGGCACGTGCCGCTGTTGCCTTTCACCGCGGAGCCTATCACGAACTTTACTCGATTCTGGAAAGTCATCCCTTTTCGCCACGTCGTCATCCTGAACTCCAACAAATGTGGTTCAAGTCACACTACCGCGAAGCCGAGAAAATTCGAGGTCGACCGTTGGGCGCCGTCGACAAGTATCGATTGCGCAAAAAATATCCGTTGCCGAAGACGATTTGGGACGGCGAAGAGACCGTCTACTGCTTCAAAGAACGATCGAGAAACGCCCTGAAGGAATGCTACATGAGAAATCGATATCCCACGCCGGACGAGAAGAAAAATCTCGCGAAGAAGACCGGCCTGACGCTGACTCAGGTGTCTAATTGGTTCAAGAATCGTCGGCAGCGAGATCGCACGCCGCAAACGAGACCGTAAGTACTCTGTACGATTTTATACACTATAAAAATACTAGAAGAATTTAATCTCGTTAACTTTTAATTAAATTGCAAATATATTTTATATAGGAGACGGTTATGCGCGTAACTTTAACTCGAAAAGATTTTTTCCTAATGGAAAAAAAGAAAGAGGGAAAATAGGTGATGAAATTAATTGACTTATTGCTAGTTTCACACACTTTCAATACACTTAGCGTAGATGTTATAACCTAAGTGCAAAAATGCACTTTGTTTTAATTAGTTATACAATAGTTTTGCTGTCATATGTTTTGTACGACGTCGCCACATTCCAATACTGAAAAAATTGCATTCTCAACTTAAGAATGTGCCACTTATCTTTAGAAATAGCGCCAAAAGGATCTCATTCTTTTTAGTATATATTCTAAAAATAAGTAGCATATTTTTGGGATTGAAAATGCAATTTTTTTTGGAATGTAGCGACGTCGTCCAACATGTGCCTTCTATTCCCTAATGAGGATGACGATTATCTTCGATTGTGCAGTGCATGGATAACACATGGTGGAACACGTCGACGGGGGGTCTCTATTCTTTAGCAAGTGTCCTAGTATAAAATGGGGTCACACAGGATATACAAATCATCGATTTTAATCGCTCTCTGGTATAATTGACCATTGTCTTTGAAAAACATTTATTTTTTTAATTCTTATGTAATGACGATAATTGAAGCAATAAAATATTAGCTCAAAACAAAAATGAATCAGATGAAATCAGTTTGAGACATATAAATAAGATATAATATTTTGCAATAAAAATAGAATTATTATTGGAGAGACTTGATTTTCCATTGTTTTCAACATTGAACGTACAAGTAGATTAATAAATTCTGATAAAAATTATATTATGTTGAGTTTTATAATCAAGAAAACACAGATGCAAAGGATGTATAATATCTTTTTCTTTATAATCAAAAATTAGATTACTCAATCTATAGCATAGATTCCTTCACCCTGCAATTGTAGAAATATTTACCGGACTCAAAACGATAACCGAGTGATGATATAATCGTGAAACATTCTTCAGGGATCCGGTGTTGTTCGGTTCTCCCGTGTGATTATCTAATCCGCGGGCTTATCTAATTAATGTCTGTGTCGTGTTGACGTCCTTTATACCGTAGCGATTATAAACGAGGGGCGAGAGGGAAAAGGAATAAAGTCTGGCAGCCTATGCGTAATATTAAGGCTTGTTATGTTAGGCGCGAGGTTCATTGATAAACGATACACCCGATAGAAAAGCAGTGGGAGAGACGTAAAAAAAGAAATGCAGACGGAGTCACGCTTAGATAATACTGGACGCGTGTTCAGCCGTTTATTGACATAACAGGGGTAGAGCAAATTACGATAAGATCGGGCAACGTAGACTTAATCTCTTGCGATCGAGAATGAATTCTTGGGAGCGACGCATGAAAATCCGTCGCTCAAAGAGAAGTTTACTTGATATATTATAACAATACTATAATATTACATAAATAATAATGTTAAATAAATTAGTCATGAAATTGTATATTTACATAAATAATATATAATTCACAAAATTATAAAAGAATAAAGAATTTTAACGTATACATTTTTAAACTGTCTGCAATAATGAGTGATATTTTCATTGATTATTGCAGACAAGTTTTTATTAGTTTTTATGAGTTTTTCATTTTTCAGTGAAAACTATCCACGCTAACAAATTCTTTTCAGTGAAATTTCACTGTTTATAGTGCTATACTTAAAATTGAGACCACTGCTTATCAGTAATAACACAATCATTTCAATTAAGAGGAAAGAATATTCATCTTTAAATATCATACATATATTATTAAATATACATTTTCAATATTATTAATACATATTTTATTGTCTTTCAAACTTTTTATGACTACTTTCAAGAAGAATTTTTCGAGATTTCTTGGGCATAAAATTTATGACAGAAATTTTTTCTCTTTCATCTTGTCTCATACCTGAAATGTATAAAGATATACATTGACTTGTACTACTTAAAAAAAAATAAGAGTTTAAACGTGTTAAAGTGTACACATTTTTCTATCGATGAGAGAAACGAAATTGGTATGGCTTCTCATGGGTCCGTTAGAGGCCCAGCAAGAAGAGGAAGAAAGAAAGAAGACGAGAAAAAGAGCAGGCCGTGACCGTCGCGACACGTAGTCATAACAACGCTGCGTTCATTCTCCAGTCCGTTCCTTTCTTCGCGCGCACGCACGAGCCGCGTATAACGCGCCGCCAGAAATTCACGCAGCACACGTATATATCCCTTTGCGCGCGTAAGGGATACCTGCGTGTATATATGTAGATATATATATGTACGCGACGTCAGCCATTGCTCCGAGAGACATTCGGCTGACCAACTACGAGCCAAGTCTACTCCATTTCGTTCTCGATCGATCTCGCTACTGTTCTCTCCCGTCACTCGTATCTCAATTCTGTGAACAATCTTTCGGCAATATTTTTCAATATTTTTTAATTTTTCAATATTTTTAATTTTCATTTTAATATTTCAATATTTTTAATTTTTATTTTTCAAATAATATAGGGGCTTCGATTGAGATTGGGAAAAGAAAACGTATCCTTTTACAGGCGAATAGCAAAATCTAAATTAGAAATTTAAATTAGAAATTTTTATGTACGATGAAAATTTGTGAAATTCTTGGATGCATAAGAGAGACCTTTTTTAATAATGCTTTCAGTTTTAATAAATTTTTTCTTCCTCTTCTATAATTTTTGTAGAGAAATCTTCACAGTTATTCTTTAACAGTGTATCAATATTTTAAAGATATTGAAATCAATTTTCTGAGCTGTCACAAATTTTTCTTTAAAAGATCTCCCAAGAATTAATTAATAAAGATCAAATAATAAAGCTCAAAGCTATTTAAGTTTACGTTGATCTTACCCTAATCTACGTTTATAAAGTTCTCTGTCTACTGACAAAATATCTCATGTACTGAGAAAGAATTCTGAGAACTGACTTGAGCTGGTTTATTATTTAGCACCCTTAAAGCTCGAGTCCCCTAGTTGAGGACTTGAGCTTTAAGGGTGCTAAATAATATAATTTCTCGATAAAAATTGATTTTCAAAATTTCAAAGATTTTCGAGGTTCTCCATCGTAACTACGCAAAGTTCTCGCAGCATCTACCACTGCTTTCCCTGCTTTCGAGAAAACAATTCTTGGTGGTAGAGAACCAAGTCAAACTTCCTCCCTTTTCCCGTCCTTTAGCGTCCTCCCGTCTCTCGCCGAAGGCTCTAGGAAAAGGAAACGCGACGCCCCATTACCGTTTTATGACGCAGCTTCGGTTACATCTCCCGTTTCACCATTGAGCTGTTCGCACTACCAATAGTTTACTACATAAAGGCCACGGCCGGCCCTCCGCCGCTACCTCGATTTATCTTTACGTGTGCCGTGCAAGAACGAGGACGCGCCTTCTTCCTCGTTACGTCGAGGAGCACCAGGTCGCCAAAGGGAGTGATGCGAATACAGATTATAAACGCGATTCGATCTGATAATTTTCAAGTGTCGTTACGTGACTCAAATTTCCATGATTAATTGTACGGATTTCTTGATCCCTCAAGTCATGGGCGCAATATCACTGATATTGAATCGATCACATTATCGTATATTCCTGGAAAAAAAGAGAGAAAAGGCATTACAAAATTTCCCAATTTTTCAAGTTATGCGTCCACTTATTATAGCATAGGCGACATTAATAGCCTCCTCGAAATGAGCCCTAAAATTTCCCTCTTCCCCACCTGTCCTCGAAGACTAGGCTCCCATTCGACGAACGAGAAAGGGATTCGGGGTAAGCAGGGCGTTACACACAGGACGTATTTCTTCAAATCCCAGACCTTGAGACGCGACCATAAAAATGCGCGGTCGGACGTTCGCAGAGAAATGGGGGTACGGAGGAGAGCGACATGGAGCAAAAGCGAGGGTCAGGGGCGGAGCTGGTCTTACACATGGACCACCGTGCGTGACGCATACTATATGGACGCACGCGCGAGAGCGCGTCGGTTTCGCGGCTCGTTTCCATAAAGCAGCGAATGCGAAACAATAATGTCGGAAAGGTGGATGTTCATTATCGTTGATCTCGTTCACTTCATCGCCATCGTTTCTACGCCATCTTTCTCATTCTTGTTTTTCATTCGTTCGGTTCATCCTTTTACTCGAAAAATCCCAGAACTCATGCATTGTTGTAATTTAAAGAATCAGCATTCTTTTTTCCTAATTTTTTTGTTCGTTTTAAAACAATACACGTATTTGCAGAGAAAATCTTATTCAAAAGTCAGATTTATGATTGACGTCTGCATCTTGATGTTTTCCTTCAGTTTTCAGTATCCCTTTTGTTTCTTTTTGAATAGTCAAGCATGTTTGAATCAATTTCCGTTTATCCTCCTCGAAATATTATTAATATTTTAATAATTTGTCAATTTTTAGCAATTCGGTTAAAAAAAAAGATTCTTTAAAAAACTAGCATGTCTAAGGCATTTGAAAAATATTTTTTTCATAATTTTATACATTAAAATATGCAGCAATTTGAATAGAAAGCATGAACGTAATGTGTACTTAAATTAGAGGCTTCAAAGATGAGATTAATTCGCAGCATTATTTTAAGCAAATTTTTTTTCATACAAGACGCTTATAGGATATAAAAATATATTTTACGGCAGGAAAAAATACTCTATTTTATGCGAAGATTTTGTCTTTACGAGTACTTTTTAATATCGTGAAACGTAATCTGTTTATAGGGACATGTTACCGTTGAATTGTCAAGGCACAACCAACAGTACGATTAGCAGCTCGGTGAGCAATGGTGGCAGCATCCAATCATTGCAAAGCATCGATTCCGACAGTCCGAATCTCGCGATGTCCCCTCTATCAACTATGGGTATGTCTCCAGTCGCCATGAATCCGTGCAGTCCAATGGGTATGAGTCCCATGGGGCCTCATCATGGTTACGCTACTCCTGTTACGCCGTCATCCGTTCATACCGCGCATCCCCATAATGGAGGATTGAGTCCCATGAACGATGTCAAGGCTTTGTGCTACGGACGCAGCGTGTATGACACAGGTATATTAAATTCGCAGAATATTTACTTTTTATATTAATTTGACTTGCAATTCCTAATTCTTATTTCGTCTCAATTTTGTACTTGTCTATTTAATTACTCTATTTAATTACTTTAAATTGTAATTGTTCGGATAAAAAAATTATCATGAATTACTAAAACTTGCGAAAACCGACGAACGATATTAATACGCGCGGACTTCTAAATCACTTCTATATCATATTTTTCTCTTTTTATCTTCAAATTGATTATTCTAATATTTTTATATTTCAAATTCGAGGAAAAGACGTGGAGCAGAGCTCGGTCTACTACTCTAGCCACTCCAGTATGCACCATCAGTATTACCAGCAGACCCATCATCAGATGATGTCTAGCTCCCATCATCACCACCATCATCAGCAAAGCGTACCAACCGGTTACGAGATCATGCTACCACCGCCTCAACATTCCATGTGACCAACGGATTACGAAAGTGATCGAAGTAACCAGGCTCATCATGGCCAGAGCGACGACATGCTCGCGCGTATACACGCCTTCGCCTGATCTTACGGCTTTTTCTTTCATCTTGATTCAAGTCACATCGCAATAAAGAACGGCAATCGAGTGGATGGAAATTTATAAAAACAATCGTTCTACAGTCAAATAACGCACTCTCGTCATCTCTTCCATATTCATTGTCTTTAACATACTTACTTGAAAGAGTGTCGAATACTTTCTACATACATTATGCGTGTATGTATGATATGCTTTGACGATCCTTAAGTGAATATAGGTCTTTTGGGTTCTGCAATTTAGACTTTGAAAATTATTGAGTTTAAATCGATTTCGAAAGGTGGATAAATACATGACAACTTTTTTAAAAACAGTTTGTATGCGTATTTAATGCAATAAGAAAAAAGAGAGAATTTATCAAACGCATGCACATCAGATAAAAAATTGATATTTACAAATTAAAAATAAATTAATTATATAAATTTTTTTCTTTTTAAACGGAAAATATTTTTGAATTTAATATATGAAATATGTAATGAAAATGCAGCTCTGAAATATATAAATCGAATTAAATCAATCCATTACTGTTTTTTACTTTTAATATCAATTCGAAATGTCTTGAATAAAAATTACCGTATAAGCTACAGATTGTTATATTAGTCGTACAAATTCGCGCAACCAAATGTTATATCACGTAACTATAGAATGGGCACGTTTTAACCAATGAGAAGACGAGAATATACTTAAAAGATTTGGGAGGAGCTGAAAAACTGGTTTTATTTCGTACCCTTCTTCAAGGTGTTCCGTACATGCGAACGTCCCAGCTGCTCTTAATTTTTTTTCAGAAGACATTTTTTTCAGAACGCAAAAATATTTACCTCAACATACATTTATATTCTCAGACATATTATAGTCTCATGAGAAATATGTAATTTAAAACATTGAATTGATTTTTAAATATTAAAAATACAAATAGAATTTAATATTTAAATGCAAAATTGAAATTAAATTTTTAAACATACTTCTTTTTGCATTGAAATTTAAGCCGTCTTCTATTTATTAAAAACTAGAGAATAAATATTATTGCAAAATGAATTTATAATTTCGAAGATTAAGCTCTCTTTGGAAATAAACTTATTACATGATTTAATTGATACTATTTTATATAATGAAATATCGATCATATATGAAAGATTTCTATCCCCAATGTATGTAAGAAAGATGTTCATTTTACATCAGATATATACGATATATTTTTGATGTCATGTAAGATGTTGGTGTATTACGTATGTTGTAAATTGCTTTGAAAAAATCGCAAAATCCGTTTATAGCGATGTTTTTGACGAAGTTGCAGAAAAAAGTAACAAAGAAAAAGCAATTAGCGTGCAGCTGAAAAATTGTGCTACTTTTCATTGTTAACTGTATATAGCTGAGAAAGGTATACATTAAACAGATTATGTATGTACTGTATATAATGTCAAGAAATAACGATGTATTATGAATCACTGGCTTTTAATAAATAGACCTGTGTTCATACATGAACACTAATCCTCTTCTTCTATTTTGTTTCTATAAAAAATGCATATAAAACTATATTATTATCGATATTATCTATATCTATATCGATGTATGTGCTATCTCTATAAACATTTTTGTGCATCTTCTTTAATCTCATATTTTTTGGACAAAAAGTAAATTATTTTTTTTTATGTTTCTTTTATTATTAATCTTTTTTATCCTATTCCTATATCTATTTTAATCTACAAAATTAAAAAAAATTAATTTAATAATTTATTTAATAATTATTAATAAATACTACATTAAAAATCTATTCAATCAATGTTTATGTGAAAGAACAATAAATATAAAAAATGCGGAATAAATGCGAATTAATAGTTAAATTAATAGGTGTAGATATCTTCAATGGACGCTTATGTACAGCAGTTGGCAAACTTACCATCTAGAAATGGACCGAAATAATACAAACAATCTCTCATAGATAACACTAGTGATATCTATAAAAACAATATTCTTATTTATATATTCAAAAAAGGAAATAAAAGAAGAGAAAGAGATAAAGAGAAAAAAAAGATTTGAAAAATAAATAATTTCACATAATTCCCACATATTTTACATAAGTTTTATGAAAAAAATATTCACATTATAGAACATATTTTTGGGTGAAATTATTTAATTTATTAATAAAATTGCATAAAAAGCAAAATAATGATTAATTTTAATTAATGGAAAACATGAAAATCTAATAAAGATATTTTTTTAATTCTAAATCGAAGCAAAAATATAATTGATGTATATGTATGTATTCACAAATACATACACATTAATTAATATAAGCTCAAATAAATAAAAATTAATATCATAAAATTAAAATCGTATAATCTTCATTGAAAAATATACATATTTTAACTTTTGTAAAATTCTGAAAAGACTAGATTATTTGCGAAATTACATAATATTAATTTAATAAAATTGAAATTGAGTTAATATAACAAAAAAAGGTTCTACATTTTCTCTCTCCCTCTCTCTCTCTCTCTCTCTCTCTCTCTCTCTCTCTCTCTCTCTCTCTCTCTGTTTGAAAATTTTAATTTAATTTTGAAAAAAGCTAGGTGATAACTTATCATTGATAAACTTATATCTTTTTGGCAGATAGTCTTTACATTAAACTTAAATGTATTTTTATAATAATAATTTAGAATTTGTTATTAATAATGAATTTACTTCAAATCGATTGTTTTCAATGAAATAGCTGCATTTCAAATTGTTACATATATAAAAAACAACAGCTAAAGTAATTACATCAATAATATTAGTAACAATTAATTTATTCCAACGATTCTAAAATATTAACGTATGTAAATTTATATTCTAAAATGTTAAATCTTTCAAGGCGGCAATAAATTAAGTATGACGCAATAATATTTAAATTTTACAGTATACGTATTATTGTTACTGTATACTCGCTTATTTAATTTTGCCATTATATTGCAATAAATTACGGTGGCAATGATGGACGATGTGTAATTAGTTATGTAATATCAGTTTTATTAATATGTAATATTAGATAATATTAATATGTGACTACGATACATGTAACGAAACGATAAATCTTGAAATATTTATTCCATGTATATGTATGTTATAGTACATAACAATATTTCAGCAACAAAATAATAATAACATGATTTTTAATCTTGACGGTATGTGACGTCAGGCTAATGTTATGTATCTCGGATCTGTTATTATTCGCGCGACGATACTCAAAAAGTAAAATAGTGCTGCAAAACATTCCATTAAATTTCCCTTTTACATGTGCTCGGGATTAATTTGGCAAATTATTTACTACAATAATATGATTAACTTTTATAAAAATTAAATAACGCGTAACTAATAAAAAAAAAAAATATATATATATATATATATATATATATATATATATATCATAAATTCTCGAACCGTATATTTCGTATATTTTTTTATTCATCACTCAAGAATCATAATAACAGGGGAAGAGGGAAATCTAAATCTAATAAATTATCCTTTCGATATCAAATCGATTTTTACGAGCAGAAATTATTTTTTTATTGATATTCAGAATCAAATATAATTGGTCCGCGACACTTTATTATTTCATTTTTCGATTATATTAAATGTAATTCAGATTATGATAACACGCATTAAAATAATCGAATCTAAAGATCTAAATAATTAACATAACGAAAAGCTCCATAAAGGATACATTAACTTTCTTTAATAAGTAATCATATAATTAATTTATACAATCTCAACTATTTTTACATGTTAATATTCGCGCATATGTGTTAAAGTACGTAAAGTATTTTGATAATAAACGGACAATAACACGGTGTTCGGTCTTAGTGTCGTAAACAATAGCGCGTTAATGTTTACATTCCACGGCCTTAGTATCATTCGTGCGGTGACACTCGAATAAGATAGACGTGCGAAATACGTTGTACATTATCGAATTAATTTTCGACTGTTTAAATATAATTCGGTTTGAGAATATGCAGTAAAATAATCGAATCGAAGATCGAAGTAATTAATATAATTCAGATTATCATCAGTGATACCAGATTCCGACCTTTCGGTAGCATGAAGGGGATAATAGAAGGGGACAAAACATATTCTCTCTCGTTCTTCTCTGCGAGAAAAGACTCCTCTGACTTTATTATTGTAACATCTAGTTCTTATATTTGTTTTGATCTCTGAATGTTCGCGAAGGTTGATTGTTCTTTTGATATAGCCGAGCGTATCGTGAGCGGATTGGGCCACATATGAGATTCAAAGACGGGGCATGCGACATGGGGATTTGCGAACCAAAAAGAGTCAGTCAGTTATGGCTGAGATTTGCGAGGAATCGTACCTCGTAATCGGACAGTTATAATAAAAGTCTCTCTTCTCTCTAATATCCCGCGTACTTCCTACATTAATAAAATTATATTATATATAATTTGTGTGTAAAATTTATTATTATTATTTAATTTATTATTTTATTTTATTTTATTTTATTTATTATTATTTAATAATGTAATGTGAATCATATTATTGCGCTTTCGATTTTGTAGTAATTTTGTAGTAATTGAATATAATAACATTACATGCTTCAGCTTTCACTTAAACTCTTCGCATTATTATACTAATATCGCCGCCGGTACCAACAGTTATTAACTCGTTGTTATATTTATTGAGAGTTTCCTATATCAAATGCCTATAAGGCATAACACACGGCAATACGTTAATATCCTCGGCTTAAAAAATTCTACAAAATGAATTAAATTTTCTACGATAATAACGTATAAAATTAATATATTTATATACGCTTATTATTACATATTTTAATGATATATGTATACATCAAAATAATCCAATTATTGCACCAATTTAATTTAGAACATACATTGTGAGCCATTAACTTCCTGTTTAAGCTATCTTCTGTTGAAATGTTTAATACTCTTATTTATATTATTATGCACACCCGACGGAACCAGGAATATGTATATATATATATATATATATATATATATATATTAAAATTTATAAAATTTTATGCTTGAATTTTACGTTAGGACTCTGCACAAATAACATGCTAATATTAAGTTATCGCCGGATCATTATACGAAAAACGCGACGCATTATTATATTAATTACTGCAGAAAATATGCATTATATGATAGACTCTTTGATTCTCTATTTTCGCTTTATGGTTTTAGTAAAAATTTAATATCATATAATATCTGCCGCTGATCGAATCGCAATAATAAATATATAATTGGCAATAATTATATAATTGGCAATCGTTCAAACTAGATAAATAAAGACCAATCGAGACATCAAAAGTCGAATTAAATTTATAGATTTGAATATTAATCTTTAATTGGTT